GAAACCGTCAAATATTCTTCAATAATTCTAATCACTGACTAGTTTATTATGTAATGTAGGGAGAATGCACTCGATAATGTAATTAATTATTCTTTTAGCTTCCACTATTCTTTTTCTATGTCGTTTGCAATCATTGCAGTTTCATTTTATTTTTATCACTGTAGGAGCAATGCGCACACTTCGATTTTTTTCTCACTATTATCCTCTTTTGTTTCATTTAATTGGAATGGCAAAATTCATTTTATCCATTAATAATTTCCATTACATTACAGTTAATGCCATTGAAGCGAATGAAGAAAAAAACTTATATTAATTTTTTAATTGCGAATGGTATCGGTTAATGGTATCGGTTAATGGTATCGGTTAATGGTATCCATTTCGATACGATGTTATTATCTCATCGACAGCTTTTAATTAAATCCGCTTGTCGGCGGTAGCTCTGCATAAAAAAGGGAGAATCGAACGCGGTAGGTAGGTTTTAGCGCGGGCCGGAATCTCCCATGTGTACCGGAAGAGTTATTTTGAAAACATACATGGAAATGAGAATATGATGGGCAAAGAGAGAATGATATTTCCCTCAGCGATCAAAACTGAGCCAGCTCTCTTTTGGTGGAATCACGATGGCAAGTGGTAGAGACTGTAAAGTGGTAAAAAGTTTGGTGAAAAAAAAGTACAATTTATCGAAATGAATAACTGTTGGAAAGTAACTACGTATTAACGTATTAGTATATTATGTAACATATTTCAATGAGATCCTGCTTAATGAGATATTAACAATTTGGAATTTTTTCCTGCATTGGCAGGGGAATGTGCTTCCTAATTTTTTTACAAATATACTAAATCGTTCTGAATGCAGTTAAGTTCAAAAGGGTTCTGTACATTGCTGGAACAAACAATTTTACTTTGTGGATTTAGAAACCCTTTCCTAGAATTGCAATTATTTTTGTGACAATGTATTTTATTATGGTGAAAAGGTTTTTTAGTTTATTTCTGTCTTAGGTTACATACATACACTTTTATTGTCCGTTTTTACACTATTTATCACACATTCATTTCAACACTTTATGTTTTATAAAGCTTTTATTCAAATCGCAAAAATTATGAGCATGCGCTGCTTAGATAACTATAGTTTTTTCTTTTACTTTAGCTTATTCGAAATGCTGCTTAGATACTTATTGCTGATATTTTTTTAATAAAATAGATTTTCTAAAGTAACTTATTATCAATGCACTTGGTGTTTTTTATGACTTATAGTTTACTCTGGAAGGAAAATAACATTACAAATTAATATTTTAGAGTTGTTTGGAAGTTATGCAATTTAAATATTACAATAACTTTCGTTTTATTAAATTGCATTAAAAATACGTAATATCCATTTTAAAAACATTGTATATGTCAATATTGTTATTTTACCTATCCACACGAAATTGGAAAATCTATTTTTTATTGGTACTTATAATTATTTAACGATTTTATTGCTGCATTTGTTTTATAAAATATTAATGGAAAAATAATAAGTGTACCTATCTACTCGGTTTAAATATTTTTCAATTTCAATATCGTGTTATTTAAAAAATACTTCATTGCAAAAGTAATTTTCATGAATATATTAAACCCTTATGCATCAATTTATTTAATATAATTTGTTAAAATTTATTAGCTATTCTCTTTATCTAGTTGATTTCGATTAATATTTTCTAAAAAATTTGCAAATAAAAAAATATTTTTAGATGGGATTCAATAAGTTTAGTATTTTTTATAGCACGTAGACGCCGTATGGGACAATTACCCAGAAACTATTTGGTAGGTTACATCAGAAGTTCTATCGCTTAAAGCTACAAGACAAACGCTACGCCTGTCGATGTTCGTGCGACGACGATTCACTTAAATTAAAAAAAAAATAAGAAACATACAATGGCCTCTTTTAACATTAATTCGTAAGTCACTCTGTGTATTTTTTTTTAAGTTGTGTTAAACACGTTTCGACGGTTTACCTCTCGAAATTCAATTTTTCTTCTGCTTACTTTATTTTGGTAACAATGGAATAATCTACCTGTATTGCTTGTAACTACAATTGCAGTTTTTGAACATCCGTATAATGTTTCAAAATTCACCCGTATTCGATTGCGCAGATGAACATATTGTATTTTTTGAAAACATTAAATATTTCAAAAATTGTGATAAACGGTAAGACAAATTCGTGTAGAGGTGAACTGTGTACTTTATATTTGACAGATCGTATTGTCAAATACTAATAATTGATTCTGTGAATCAAAAACAGATGAAAATTGAGTAGATGGCAGATCTGTCATTTATAAAATTATTACTTATTAGTTATACGTAAAAATTGTATTTAAGGAACTAGCAGAGAAACATCTTTATTTACAATTTTTTAGATAAAAATATTTTAATATATGATTTTAATTTTAGTGATTATACATATTAATTTGTAAATATGGTTTGCACTCATGGTATGCATTGATGTCATCAGCTTTCAGCACTATTATGAAAATTTAATGATATAAAATTGCATCAAAAAAATTAATAATTAATATAAATCATTAGCCATTTCCACATTCATAGAAATTTTAAAGTGTTTTCCATTTGTTTTTTTAAAGAATTCATTTGTACATATTAAGTTTACCTAAGGTTTTTAGTTAGTTTTCGTATCGATACAAATTTGACAAGTACGTTTGTGCGGATGCGAATAGATTCTCTTCACATATTTTATTCTCTGATCTCTCTCAAAAATTGATTTTTTGGTGAGATCATTTTTTTTTATTTTAGATTGTGTATATTTTAGTCGATTACGTTCTGTTTTACTTTTTCCTTTTTCATTTGTTGTGTATAAACATAGTTTTATCATTTCCGTATTTGCAAAAATGTGATGACAAAATTATTCGTAAAACTTGTAATTTCACAAAATAAATCATTGAAAGCTCTACGGTTTTTAATATGCACCGGTACCGCACAGAACACTGCCGTTGAATGTAATTTAAAAACCGTGATGAATAAATACCAAAGGCATTATTATTTTTTGTTGTGCAATATGCGCTCTAAACAAAAGAACTTTACGATCAAAAGTGATTTGTGAGCGCAATGGAAAAGTTCAAAAACCGGCAAAGCAAAGCAGCAGGAGCATCTCTAGCAGTTCATCAATGGATATAAAATAATTTTAGAAAGGCATCCTGAAAGGAATATTATTTTCTCCTAGTAAAATATTTCCAATTTTATTGAAAACTCGTGCATTTTTACGAAAAATAATATTATATTTGTCTGATTAGTGTGGATTAAATATTCGAAATTGTCTTGTTATCTTGTCTTTTATTTATAAACATAATTGAATTTTCTGTTAGGTAGCTCATTTCAACTGAACAATAAAATTGGTAAGTTTCTATTTGTTCCTTGTGCGTATAGCATTCGGTTATTGATCCAGGTGTGATACATTCTCCGGTAGGTATCTAATTTTTGAATCTAGAAGGGGCGAAATACCCATTATTGTCACGCATATAAACCCTCTTTTAGTATACCATACGCCATTGGAGACAGAAAAAAATATTCGAAAAGGAAATAGGTACATTTATCGACGCAGTCGGCAAATTTATACTCTACATATAGTTACATTTTTTTAAAATAATTTTGTTAAATAATTGTTCAAACAAATTGTTAATAATAGAGGAAAGTTTACAGTTATTATTGGTCAAGTGAATTTTGAATATACACTGTGTTCTGGTAAGCATGGGGATTGTAAAAATGATACAAGAATTGGTAAATGGGGAAAAAGATATGCTTAATTTATCGATTTTTGTTTTATGTGTTTATGTATTTTATCCCTTTATTTTTGTTGCTTGAGAAAGACATTTATTGTCACTTTTAAACGCAATATGATAACATTATTTAATTCCTTCTCGGAATTAAATAATTAAGAGGATTTCATTTACGAATTTTGAAAGGTACCTATTTGGTACAAGAATAGTTGGACTAATAATAATAATAAATTTACTCAAAATTATTTCCTATATGGCAATTAATTTAAGATGCAAGTGCATCTCAAACCCGTAACATAATTACCCAGGGTTTATATTTAAAAAATAAGTTAACGATGGTTCCTAAAAAATTAATTGAGTCAGTTTATTGTCCTTTAAATTGCGCAACTTATTCCCATTTCACTAACTTTTATATTTTCCAGGATTGCCAAGATTTTAATCACATCTTAATTACAATTGCCTAATCTAGATCAGCACTAGAAATCAGCAGATTAGAATACAGGGTGTCCCAATGAAAAGTAGCCCCTTTAGTGAGCTAATAATTTTTAAACGCCTAATCATAAAAACATGCGGTTTTCGCAGATATATTTTATTTAGCAATAACTTTTTGTTATTAATGTTGTTTTAAATTCGCATTAACCTAATTAACATTAACATTAAAATACCTCTACATATACGGGGTGTTCCATTAAAAAAATGGATACTGTAAATTTAAAGGAGATTTTAATAACACACCATGTATTGGTAATGCATAATTTATGTATCACTGTAACAAAATTTATAATAAAATAAAACTATTTGAGAAAACTACATGTTTTTATGATTAGGCGTTTAAAAATTATAATAAATGAGCTACTTCTTATTGGAACACCCTGTAAAATAAGGCAGAGCAGGAATACAATGGACTTTTCTACGTAAGAACTTCAACACCGCCTGTTGAGCTTGGTCAAGATTCGCCCGAGCCACTTCGCTCGCGGAAAGCTCGCAGGCTCACCATCAAGTTCATCAAGCCCACATCACCCGTGTTAACTTCGTCGCGATTATCGCACTCGACCCAATCCGACGCGCTCTTCTTATTCATCATACGTATCGCCTAGTAAATTTTTCCGGATATTCAATTATTACCTGCCATGAGGTTCTTGCGCCGCGCCGCCATCTCCCCCATCGACACGGCCGGCGGAAGCGCGGATCCGAGAGGCGGCAAGGTGGGGACGACATCAAACTTGGCGGTTCAGTCAATCGCGATCCGGCGAGCCGTGCGCGTAACGTGAGCGCCCCGAAGAGGTTTCCGAGTCGACGAACTCTTTTGCGAATAGGTTGAAGTCGAGTGCCAGTGCGGATATGGCGATGGTTCTGCTGCGCCGGAGGGCCGTGTTCTTCGCCTTCCTGCTCGGAGCGGCCGGTTGCTTCGGCGAGAGGCTCGAGGATCTGATGAAAAACGATCCGGATATATCTGAGGTGCGCTATTTTACGTACGATTATCCGTTGGATTTCTTGTTTTGTTGGTATCTTGGGCGAGCGCGTGGTCAAGGTTACCGCTTTTCGCCGGTCGTCGTGCTGGGAATTGATTAGAAAGTTTCGATACCTACCAGGTTTTTTTTTGTTAACAAGCGAAAGCCGGCTGTGTTCGCTACATTTAAATTTTAAATTTCTCGAGCGCATTTTTTGATTATTTGTCTTTTGTACAAGTTGCGCGCAAGCAGGTAATTCTGAAACCAAATTGTATGGTGAATGATAAATTATGCATAACTAGGTAAATCAGATTTTACAATTGTTTGGAAAAGTGCGGAATTTGGCATTTTACTCAGGATGGAATTTTATTAAAACCATGAAACATTGAACCTCGGGATTCATGTTAAATCATGAGAAGGAAACGAAAGTGTAATAATATGCTATTATAACACTATAATTTGAGTAAATGCGGGACAATAACGTTATAATTAAAAAACCGGAATTATAATCTAATACCATAGATTTTAATTGATATAACATGCAGGTTCCAGCATTAACGCATTTATTTCTCCCATAGTATAGGACGTATAAGGAAATTTTCCCTAATATCTACTGGCAATATTGCATCTTATAAAATTATATTTCATTTATACAATGTGCCCCAGAAAAAGTACCAGCTATCAAAATTATGTTTATAACACAACCTATACATTACCGCATTTTTAAAATTCTATCAATAAATCAATTGAAATGAATTCGAAAACTCTTTACATAACAATACATATTACAGTTATAATTTCTAGTTAGTCTATCAAGATGAAACCTTGCTTGGTTATTTAGCAAGGTTGTGTGCAATGCAGATGCAATTTCTGAGTTCTGCTGAGCCAGGCGATTGTGTTAAATGTGAATATATACGATTGCGCGGACGAGATAAGTTGGCGCGAGTTAGACGTAATACCCAGGAAAGGAAGGAATAGTGGCAAAGAGTTAGTGCTACGTATCCAAATGTCAAACAACTTTAATTAGGTGCCTAGTTGGGTGAATTATATTGAGATTAGCAATTACCTAATGGTGTAAATACGTGCCTATCGAGGCTGTAAATTTTTATTTTAACTTATTTCATCGGTTTACCAGGCCTGATATTCATACAAACTTTTCAGGAATCGTTTCAGAATAAAAATGAAAAAAAAATTTAAGAAAATAAGTTGGCTTTATTTATGTATTACAGTAGGGGGAAAGAAATGGATAAAAAAATTGGCAATATATCATCAGTTTGAGGTAAAAAACTCAAACTTTTTAGACATATCGTTAATAGCGTTCTTTTTAAACTCAACTCACATTTTTTATTTGCCAGAGGCGAAAATTTTTGTCTTATATAAAGGTTTTTCTTCCTGTTTTCTCCAAAATGGAGAATTGGCATTTTTAAATCAAATTTACCAATATTTCTTACACTAATAAAATGTACTCTTACAGAAAATCACCAATGTAAACCAATTTCAAAAATTACATATCATTATAAAAAACATTGAAAATACGAAAAGTATTAACATTTGTGACAATTTTTTACCTACCCTGGCACTCTGAAGTATAATTTCTCCACAACCTCTGCTTTCATTCAATGTTTTTATTCGTTTAACCATAATATACGCAATATTGTTATGTTAAACATTTGGGTTCATAGGTACATTACGAATCTCGTTTAAAATATTCGAATTTGGAAAATGTTAATGAGCCCTAATTGCCCTGTTAAACATCCTACGGGCATTGTAACTGCAATTTAATTAGTTATCCAATTCATTGTATTCTCTGGGCTATGTAATAAAGAGTGAACTTTGATTAAAATAATGTAGATTAGGTGCGTGAATTTCGAACGGTTTTAATAATAAAATACAGTTGAATTGAACTAATTGATTGACACTAATTGAACTTTTTTTGTAAACTATTACGGGAAAATTATAAATTAATAGATATATTAAATTACGAAACTAATTAGTTTATGTGGAATTGCGGCAAAATTTACATATTATAGAATAATTGATTGTACCTAATTAGTATTCAGCAGAAGAAATATTTTTTTACTCAAATTTGTACCCTTTGTTTAAGCTTATTCAAATTTAGGTTCCTAAAACTGCTGGGTCCATTATTTAATCTTTATTGCAATTACTATTACCCTCTTCCTTCCATTTTTTTATAGCCATTTTCTCCCTACCTTTACTTCAAAAAATTCTTAAGTGAATTAAAATTCACAGCCATCCCTTTTTAAGAAACAAAATACTCTAATAGGCTATTATACCATAGCAGATTAATAAATAAGGGCGCAGGGCTTCAAATCATGTAGCCCAAATTCTCGTTTTATAATGAATTGTACCGCAAAATCGAAATTAAATTCACTCGGTTTTGGTCCTCTGTGCTACAATAATGCTACGTATACTTCTTACCTGTCATGTACATTGAGCCATCTACTTGGAGAAGGGCTGCTAGTAGCTACAAAATCTTATTAAACCAGATCTCCCTTTCTTGATCAATGAGTTGAAATTGGAATTGGAAACTTATGTCTTCATCAAAGATTACGGCCATAGTGCACCCTCTCATTCCGAACGCTGACGGGGAGATGATATCTTAAATTATTAAACGTTCGATATTGCCTTGCGTTTCGGCACCTAAATCTAGTTTACTTCTTGTACATTATTGAGAAAGCGTAAAACTGAAAATTTACTTCTTAACTGTTGCTGTAACTCGTAATAAATAGGTAACGAAGTTAGAAAACTTGGCTATTGTTAAATTACGTAACTTATGAATATTTTGCAGGGAGTAATATTTCAAACCAAAAATATGGTTGATATTTTACAATGGATGTTCCGCGTTGAAAAATCCAAAACTCAATTTCATGGTTCGGCATTCGTTACTTTTATTTTTCCATTCCGGCCTGATCGACTTCGAATTTTACATGCCATTTTTGGTTTCTATTGATGTGTGTTGCAACAATTCGATAGACAATCCCCCAGGAACTCATTGTAACCCTGTTATACCCTATTAGTATTCAGGACATGTTCACACACAAAACGGTTAATATGTACTCGCATGAGCGATACGCACCCGTCACGTAATCAAGATTATTCTTCTATTTTTTTGCCATTGCAAACGGGGTTTTTAAATAGGACAAATTGTGTATTACAAACATATTTTTATGTACCAAATTAAAGTTCTTTTCCACCTTCTTTTAACGAAATTAAATGCACGGCCGGTGTCTTTTGCAGTCTGTGAACTTTCCTTAAAATTAACAAAGCGACCGAAAACCTGAAAATCGCTTATATCATTAAATTTAATTAAATCGGTGATTTTAAGTCGTTTAGTTAGAGCAAAACACGAAGTAGCCATCGGAACGTTAGGCGCTGTTAAATGCCTCATCAGATTTCTGGCTTGGCGCAAGGCGACTTGAAAATTTCTATTTAAGTAAATGAGTTTTGAAAACTTTGGCAATTTAACATTCATTAGCAGGGAGGAGAGTGATGCGTCGCAATCGAGTTATTTCGATGAATTTTAAGCGCGCCAGAAGCTCTTCGGCTTCGGATGGAAACGCCTCGAAGGGCTTCCGAATTTCCTGTTAATTTTTAGCCGATCGGTCAGGCCGGGTTCTCGTGCCAGCGCTTGCAGATTTTTATCGGAGCTTCAAAAATAATATTCTATGAAATATCCGCAGGATCGCCGACTTGCGCTATAGCGAAGGCATGGCTATATTAATTTTCTTTGAAGGGAATAATTTCAAAGGCAGTTCGAACCCGAAAAGCAATAAAACATATCGGATAAATGAACAGATATAAAAGTCCGTGAACTGCAGTTAATTTTCACCGAAAACTTTTTGATTCAATAAAGGGATTATTTTGGACGAAACTTTTTCCAGCGAAAAGAGGATTTTTCTTGCTGTAGAACCTGCAAAAGAGTGCAAGACAAACTGCTTTCATAATTTTTAGTTTAAACGCAGATACTATTGTAAAAAGTAATCGATATTTGAGACAATTTATTGTTCTACCTATCAGTTAAAGTATGTATACAAACGTTTTAGTTCACCTAGGTTTAATATCTAAAATGCGGTCAATTTTCTTCAACATATTCATAATTATTAAGTTTTTGAAGGGAAGATAAATCGACTAGTAAATTGTGTAGTTAACACCAGCTGGCGCTTTCCGGCAATTCACCCGACTCATCCATCATTCATGCATTCTTTCTATCTCATTTATATTAAATGCCCGGTACACTTAATGCAACTTAAGTTAATGAAAATCCCGGCCCGCTTTATTACGGAGTTGCGGCGAATATTTGGCAATTTTCGCCCGCCGAGGTTGCTGCACGAGTGCCACCGACCCCGGCACATCAAAAGCGGAAACGAACCACGAAAAATTGTCAAAACCGAGCAAAAGGCATCGACACGAACAGGAGAATTTCAGTGAAATTATCGTAATTTCGCCTAACGTGCTTATCTGCTCTACTGGCTTCGAAATTATCGCCGGCCATTAAGTCCCAATCGAATAAATCGCTCTTCTCTCCTCCATATAATGCGTGCATGTGCAATGCAGGAAACCGGAATGGACGTTAAAATATTGTGTTGCGGCCTTGAATTCTATACATTCTTCGGACGTGTTTCATACTATTTACATACAGTAGACCAAAAAAGTATTCGTACAGTTGCATTATGTTCTGGAAGTCCGCGTTCAGTAAACAGAAACAAGAAGTAACTAGCAAATTAAAATCTACATTTCGAGACTATTCTTGCAATCATTAATTAACATTGTTATTAAAAATGTAAAATAAAAAAAAACGAAAAATGTTTGCATTATCCCCAAAATAAGTATTCGTACAGCAACGTTTTATCAATTTCTTCACTCTGTAGATATTAAATTGTTTATTGTTTTCGCCGGTATATTAGTATTAGGTTGAGCTCCTAGTTCTGTTTTCAAAATAATTCAAGTTTACCTTAAAATGCCTAGAAAAACTGAAGAAATAGATGG